TTAACTGGATCATAATCAAAGGTGACCTCACTGATGACAGCACATTGTTAACCTGTACTGGAGTAGCAGAGGGGATGTAGTAGGGAGGGAATCCCTCTGTGAGTAGGAAACGTGGACTGTGATCAGCTGAATTGGTCCCCAGCTCCTTACTGCCTCTCTACAGCACCCAAAAAGGGAAAACCCAGACTCTTTCAGCTGCCCTCTTCAATCCCAGCAGGGCCACCTGCCTAGGACTGGTGCTGGCAGACAGCATGCCTTGGGTTTGGCCGCACACAGTTCAAAGCCCAGTCTGGTCAGCAGAGCCTGTTGGAAGGATGTGCCGGGGTCCATCATCACTTGGGTTACTCATTGGTTCCTGACCGCACCATCCTATTTTTGATATGAGTCTCTTGTACGAGGGAAGAGTGTGACCGGTTTCCATCGCTCTGGAGTACTTTCTATGCTATAGATTCTGTAAATTATTCCACCATAATAAAGCTAAGTGATATCCTGCCTTTGGTACAACTCCAACAGAGTACTGCCAGCTTACTTTCCTCTACATGTTTTACTGGTTTTGCTGTTAATCTCTCAGGATAAACATATACCACTATTTCAGATTCTGTACTAGTCGTTTTTCCAGTCAAAACCAGAAACAGCAACCTTTTGGGAAAACATGGTAAATACATTTGCTCACTTAACAGATGATTTGAATTTCACCTCATCCCTCAAGGAGTGTAATTGGCATAAAATAGAAGGCTCATCTGTGCTGGAAATGGTGTTGCAAATGGTGGTATTTCAACAAACTACTTATTAAGAGCTTTACAGTGGTAATACACACTTGTCTCAATGTTCCTCAGCATTTATAACAAGTTGACAGATATTCAGTAACTAAAGGTCATTTTATTCAATAAGGGATTCTTGTTTTATAGTCTTAAGTACTGGCTTTGAAATTGCTAGAGAGCAGATTAAACACTGAACTCCCCAGACACAGGTATCCATTGCGTAGGATCATACATCACATAAATGAGCTTGTTGAAACACCTGACATTTACTCATAACACACACTGCTACAAGTGGCAAAACCACCAAGCTCTCGGTCATTTATACATTGAATTTATAGCTCTCAATTTTGATGTACAAAGAATATGTTGTATTGTATAATGGTTGCATCCAAATAAAATTAAATTATGTGATCTTCATGTGCCTTAATGGATAGACACAAACCACTGGAAAAGCTGGAAGAACTCAGCACTGTCAAATCTGTTCCCAGGGCAGAGCTGCAGCCATTGAAACTGCTGAAAAGGTTCCTACCAAAGCCAGGCAGGTAACCTCCACCACCACGAGCAGATCATTTACAAATGCAATTATTGCCACTTCTAACACCATCCATTCGATTTGTGTCAGTCTTTACAGTAAACTTCTTCATGTGCTTCAAAGGGGAAGACTTCCCAGTACAACCATTCGTCACTGTGAGGCTCTTGGGTACCAAACACTGGCTGGCACACCAAGCCCGGTCCAGCACAGGGAGACAGATCAGTAGGAGGTGGGTCAGGCAGTTCTGGTGGCAAAC